AATTTTACCTTTTCCAATTTTTTTAAACACGTGTCTGATACAAAATATGTATTAACCATGATTAAAAATAAGATGATTAAATGCCAGAATAGGGAAATAAATAAATGATATATAAAGTATAATCATTTCTGTGAAATACATGAATATCTTGCTCACGTGTTTTAGATGCATGTGTATTTTTGTAATTTTTTCTTTGAAATTGTATTGTTTATGTTTGCATTGAATTCATAAAAGAAACAGGAAAAACATGACGGTTTGCAGCGTTTGAACACAGAAGAACGTGGTAGCAGATAGGACAACTTGTGATATGCTGTCTACAAGGTGTTTCTTTGGAGATGTTTGGTTATGCTTGATTAAAAATAAAACAATTCAAAATATGTTATTTTACTTGTTAAAAGAACTTTTCCTTGACAAAGGAATGTAAAAAATAAACCTGACAACTTATAGACACCACATGTTTATTACCAGATCGTGCAATAAAATCATGAGCATTGTATCTAAATATTCGACTGCAGTCGGCAAAACGGCAACATCCATGAGGCATGTGTACTTGCAGAAAAAAAAATCCTTAGTACTGTTACCGAACGGTTCAACCTCAGCTCTTTAGTCCTTGACACCGGTAAAACGCGGTCCATGTTCTCGCCGCTGTGAAATCGCGGGAATAAACTGTTTAATGTCTAGTAATAACGAGTTTCGGAAATGACTGGCACAGGAATTGTATCGATGACTTTGAGGCCAATTAAGTTTATATCATCCAAGATGATTGTAGACAAACTCTCATTTATACTGTGCAGTATATGATTAAATAATAATGAAGGAGTGAACGGAAGTCTATCATATATGTCTCAGACAAATGCCAAAACCGGGCTACACCAGATGATAATTAAAAGTTGTAGAACGATTAAAAGATGTCTGTTTAGCAAGGCAATAATTCTGAGACGGAATGAAATTGCGTGATTTCATTTAATAAGTACATTTTATTGATGTACACTTTATTTCCTCCTGATTTTTAATTAACGGTTTGATCGAGATCACAAAAAGGTTAATATCATCACACGTTACATGTAGCAAAATCTAATTATACAGATAATTTCAATGGGAGGGGGGCTGTTTGTTGAAACTTTCTCGATACTAAATATTTTGAATGTTACTTACTGTACAATTAAATTAAACATTCGTGAATAAACACTTTTTTGAATGTCACTTGTACAATAAAAAGAAAATATTCATGAATAAACACTTGAAAAGCTTAACATTGTTTTAAGATTTTCTGCATTTTTCTGGTAACATTAAGAATAATTAACATAGATTTATGCAAGTCTAATCACGATGTACGAGCAAGAATTTCAACTGACGTTTTTCTGATATCTTGTTTCTAAGTTATTGGTATCCCTGGTCCTGCGTACCAACATAAATATAGTTTGTTACCGTTCTCTTGTCAACTTGAAATACCGAGGAAAAGTAAAACAAAAATCTTCCAAGTTCCGAAGGGACCATTAAGAGATATATCTATTGGGATATTTAATGCTTCGGCAAAAGCGTTTTTATTGTAGCAAGAAGTTATCTTTTTCCAGGAATTCCCCATTGTCATATAAAAGCGCTCTTCTACAAAAATACCCACTTTCTATCGAAGATCTACATGGCTAGATCGTCTCGATCTATCGGGTCGGTGATTTCTTTGACAATTTTTTTTTTAATTCTTCAAAACAGTTCACGTCTTGATTATAATAAAATGGTAATATTTCATCAAAATTTGATCAACAAGAGTTTTTTTATCTACAAAAAAGGCAATTTTCCGGAAATGAAATAGGTTCTAGAATCTAAAGGAAATTGCATCATTTCTGAATCAAATAGTATAATGATTTTACAAGTGGTCATTTAATTTCTTGAGAACATTTGGAATTTTGCGTAATAACTGATAAACAGATATCTTTATAAAAATCATTAGCATATTTATTGATTGTGACAACAAAGGACCAAAAACACCAGACTTATATGTATGTCAAAGATACGGCCTTATTTATTTACTTTCTTTCAATTTTCAAAAGTTTTCCCCCAACACGCGTTCTCCTCAAATTGAGTTGCAAAGATTTAAATTAAATATTTGTAAGGAAAAAACAGAGAATTTGTTAAAGATGCTTCTTTTGAAGTTTCGTCATCAGATCCTAGGCCTTTTTATACTTATCTCAATATTTTAGGCCAAGATCTGCATATTTCTTAATTAAATAAGCTACATTATTTATGTTCTTATGTTTCTATAACCTAGACGTTTTCTTTGATTCAAGATAACCTTTCAGCGACCTCTTATTCAACCATTTCGCCTGTCATAAACTCTTAAAGATTACCATGTCATCAAATCATGCTTTATAGATTAAGTAAAGAAAGTATCATTTTCATAAAAAGAAAAACAAGGAAATCAAATAAACTTCTCTTTCTTCCTGAGTTTAATTTTATTATGTATGTTAATTTCTCCAAGCAATACGCACGCCGTTCTTCATAGTATACAATTTTGTTTCTTTAAATCATTAGGCCTATGTAATGTGAAGCGGTCACCCATCCAAGGGTTAAACAGGCTCGCTGTTGCTTAACTGCCTGAAATAGAGGGAGACTCTACCGCATCACGAAAAGCTAGCAGTACAAGTTCCCTATATACTGTCCGCTACACACACACCCGCTCAGGGAAGCTTCGACCCGAAGTTTAGCATGAGTTCTCTCTGAGTGTCTGAGCCTCTTCAGTACAGGCAACCAATGCCGTTCCCGGACACGAAGTCCGTACCTGGACACAAAGTCCTAGCCTTAGAGATTCCTGAAGCAGGTTGGAACTTCTTCAGTTACGGCAACCCCTGCCGTCCAAAAACACGAAGTCTGTAAATGGACACTTAAGTCCTAGCTCTGAGACTTCCTGAAGCAGGACAACAGACACCAGAGTCACTACGCTGCCACCAATTTTGTAATGGGAAGCGGTCACCCATCCAAGGGTTAAACAGGCTCGCCGTTGCTTAACTTGCTTGAAATAGAAGAAGACTTTACCACATGACCAGAAAAGCTGGTTAAACAGGCTCGCCGTTGCTTAACTTGCTTGAAATAGAAGAAGACTTTACCACATGACCAGAAAAGCTTGCTCACTTGCGAGGCAGTATAAGTTCGCTATATACTGTCCGCTATAATTACATCAATACTTTTAACTAAATTAGATATACTGTATTCTAGGATGAAAACACAAGGGGAACCAAATAAAAATTGATGTTTATGACTTGTTTTCTGTTTCTATTCTAAAAAACGGGCTCGTGTTTCAATTGGCAATAGTCAACCGGGCCAAGAAAGATTAGTAAATGTGTTCAGGATTCCGCGCCTTCTTCTTGTTAAATTCGAGGTCGCTCGTAAATATATTCCAAAGGAAATAAGCATTTTAAAAAATATTTTTAAAATAACGAAATTCCTCTCGAAGTTTGGTAAAAGGCAATAAAACAAATTGTAAGACTTATAGTGTACTATATTTATAAAGAAACAGTTCACTTAGGGAAGACATAAAATATTTTAAAAATTATTTTAAAAATAAGTTTTTTTCGATATAAATATTATTAAAGACATCATGAACTCAATAGTGTGTGTTCCATTTTTTAGAGACCAGACAAGGGTATAAAACATTAATTCTTCGTGGTTTCTGATGGCGTTAGCACCATTTATGTTACGCATTATGTCAAAATATGTACAACATAACAATTCTACCTCGTTTATATATATATTCCACGGCTAAATAAGATAACAAAGAACAAAAAGTTTAGCATTTTCTCTGAAATTCATCTGGGATTTAATCTAAAATGTTCCAATTTAGGAATTTTTTTTTTCAAGGCGCGGCATGAATGACAAATAATCAGAATTTAGTGATAGATTTTTGTGGCAGTCGATTCATGTGCAGAGGGATTTTAAACAGAGGTTTTATAAAACTCTAATTGAAGAAGGTATTATCCATTTCACATGCAATTCACACACAATGTTGTTCATAGAAATTGAAGTTAGCAACAGATTTAAAACAACACGTGTATCATTAATTAACTGGTATATTTTTTCAATGAATTTTATTTGAGGGGGATATAGAGGTTTCTTATATACCTATTCTCACTTTTTAAAAATTTCAATTTCATCTACTCCCACTTGCAAATTTAATAACAATAAATGTTCAGAAAATAATGAACAAAGAAGATGGGGGGATAAGGCGAACGAATTTTTATAAATTGCTAGAGTTCGAATCCCTCGATTATCATCTAGTATCATGATTTTAATAAAAGAATATATTTTCCCTATCTTTTTTGTCTAACTCAGAAGAGGTTTATCTCTCATAATTTTATACATTTCAATAATGAGAACTTAATTTAAATATTCAATTCACAAAATTAAGATGATTTCTTAATATCTGAAGCTATAAGCATTCTGCACGACTTGTTTCCCTATCTTCTTTATGAGCAATTTCATTCAAATATAATATGGATTTGAGAAAATAACAAAAGTTTAACAAAAAAAGGCACTTTAATATCTTTATTCTAGAACATAAAATAAAAAGATTCATCGTAAACAAAAAAAGCATTGAAATAGCTGGATTTTTATAATAAATAGATTAGATAACATGGGAAAACGATTTAATTCACTTTTTTTTCTTCTTTCAAATATGAGTAAAAAGTCTAATTTATAATTCTAAAAAGTAAACATGCCTGTCCTCTATTCCAACAGGTATTCATTAAATAATTGTTAATCATTGTTTACATAATAAATAATAATATGTCTTTTTCTAAAAAGTTCGTTCAGTAACTCTCAACTAAAGAATACGGTAACGTGTTTCATATTCCCACATGCATCTCATTAAAACAACTTTGAGATCTGCATGGTACGTTTTTAAATCAGAACCTGTGGAGGATTGACAATCTGAAGGTAAGCCAAAATTTTTGACTTTGTACACCCCTCCCCTTCTCACTTCCGATATTAGAACTCTTTTGAATTGAAAACAAATTTTGGTGCCACTAGTTTCAATATAATGGTACAAGGGCAATAATTCTAACGTTATCTGTTCAAAGTGCAAGAAGATGAATAGTTAAGTATAAAGCTCACATGTTATGTTTGTACATGTAAATTCGATAATTTGTCCAACAGGGACGTGGAACTACGGTGTTTAGAAGTCGAAGTGGCCTCAGTATAATGTAGTCACTGAGTCAACCGTGCTACATGTTGACATGTAACGTTAACGGGTCAACCGTCAAATGTCAAGTTCATTTTGTTAGATAAACAGATGAGGCGAAATGTAACTATTATAATTCGAACACTTTTAAAAAGAGATTTCCCATCTATATCCCTATAACCACGATAACATAACACATCTGTTTGATATTCTACTTTGGCTCCATGATGCATCCTCCCAAAAGGGAGGGGGTGATTTGAGTAAACTTGAATCTATAGGCCTACTGAGGGTACTTCCATAACGTCATATATCGATCTGATCACGTATTTGTTGTTCTTGAGAACAAGATTTTTTCCTTTACAATTATATGTACAACCAATTTCCTATAGTAGCCTCATGCACCTTTCTCTCACTGGTGTCAAGATTTGAATAAACTGGAATCCACAACTATCAGGGGATGTTTCAATATTAGATTGACTCATCATACATATCATATGTTGGTTGTTTCTGTGAAGAAATTTTTTCTCTATATTAGCCCCATATGCCCAAGTAGGTGTCATGATTTGAATAAATTTTAACCTGAACTCTGTAATGATCGAAACTTTCAAATAATTCATCTTTTTTACTCTTTTTTTTTTTTTTAAAGTTCTTGATAAGAATATGTTCAAAAGATATCATTGACTTTTCACTTATTCCTATTTATCCTTGAAAGAGAATGTGGCCTTTCTTTTGAAGAATCTTGAATCCTCTTCACCTAAGTATGCTTTCTATGAAGTTTGGTTAAAAATGGCCCAATTGTTTTTATGAAGAAATAAAAATGTGAAAAGTTGACAGATGATGGAGAGAAGCCAGACTCCCACAGCCTTCAAATAATTTTAATAATGATCTTGAAAATTAATAGGCAGCTCAGGATATTAAAGACAAAATCACAGATCATATTCAATATTCATACATTAAGCCAAATTTGACAGATTATTGGATAGTGTAAAATACTTATATTCACCATACTGAGAAAGGGTTTGATTTGATATTTAAAAATAGGGAGGGTTTTAGAAAAGGATGGCTATGGTTACACATACTTTTTTTTCTCTGCATGTTTACATCAAATGAAAAGATTTAGGAACTAGACCCAAAAGTGGTGTGTTTGAGAAATGTTGCTGATGTCCTCATAGCCTTCAATCCAATAGGTGAAGTTTTTCAAATGTAGATCAAAGCTAAGAGTTAAAAAATGTTGGTACCCTAAGAAAATTCCTCTCACAAGGAATAAGCTTGTGGGAGCTCTAGCACCAACCATTCAGAAAATAGAGGAAGGTTTAAATTAAATATGTTCAAAAGTAGGTCATACTCCAGGGTCAATGTTATTTAGATAAAAATATTTATTATATTATTGAATATTTTCCATCTCTCTGATTGGCCGAGATCCAACTATGTTAGAGAAATACTACGTTGTATTGACCTGCACGTGACGTTCCAGGTCAATACAAGGATTTATTTCCTCTACATTGATCTAAAAATAGATCGGGAAATTCCAAATTGATACAAATTGTTTTGGAAATCTATTTAAACGACTATCACTTTTTTTTCATGTGAACAAATCATAGGCGAATATATATTTTTGGGTGATGGTGGTAAGAGGGGATGCAGGGAACACCCCTCCCCCAACACTTTTACTGAACAACAATTTTTACTGTTTTCCCTGATAACAATTTTTACTGTTTTCCCTGATAATACTCCTTCCTTTGAAAATCTATACTATAAAAAAGACTGACATTATATTTTTTATTCATGGCAACTAAAATTGATTTTAAAAACTTCAAATTGATACGATTGGTAAGGCTTATTTACATTTTAATTCTGCTTCTCTTTTGTATTTGGCTAGAAGTTAATCAAATGCAAACAAGTAATGGACTTTATCATTTTATCAGTGAATCATATAATAAAACAATTATTGCTGTTTTTTGGTCAATACAATGATTTAGCCATCTTCGAAGTACAATATTCACCTCGCCCTCCGGGCTCGGTGAATATTGTACTCCTCAGATGGCTAAATCATTGTATTGACCTCAAAAAACAGCAATAATTGTATATGATACCATATGAAAGATTGTGACAAGAAATACTAATTATACTATATATAAGACATAAAGTGAAATATGGCAGCTCTAGTCAAAATAAGGGACAAGCTGATTAAAGTTTTTGCAAATGTAGGTCAAGGTCAAAGGTTAAGGTCAGGAGGTCAGATGGTTGATACCCAAAAGAAGATCTTGTAACAAAGAAAACACCTGACTGTGATATAAATCCTAGTAACAATCATTCAAGAACTATGACCTAGTTTAATATTTTCCAAATGTAGGACAAATGCCAAAGATTAAGGTCTAAAGGTAACAAATTTTAGTATCCAAAGAATGATCTTGCATTGGGGCTAAACATTTAGATGACCTCACTTTTGATCTCAGTCTCACTTTTCCACTTCATCTTGCTTTTGTGAAAGTGAGACTGAGATCAAAAGTGAGCTTGTCTACATTTTATGGCCTTGGGACATGGAGACTGGTCACATGAATTCCAAAGCAGTTACTGTTCAAAAATTATGATCAAGGTTAAAATTGATAAAATTTGCAAAATTATGCCAATTTCCAAGATTTTGGACAAAAAGCTGAAGAGGTCAAATATGTTGGTGCCAAAAATTCAGTGAGTCAAATTGAACAAACAAATTCAAGGAATTGTGATCCCCCGCTTTTGGAGTCTTTGTGGGTGAGATGTCATTTTTTATAACATGCTTTTGGTGTCTTTGTCATTTATTTAGAAATCATCACTGAACTCCAAGGTCAAGGTTCTTGGTATCCAATGAAAAGTCTTCTCACAAGGATTACAAATGTGAAGTATGAAACCCCTAGCCCTTACCATTCAAAAGTTATGGTCAGGGTTAAAGTTTTTTCATAAGTACAAAAAATCTTCAAGGTCAAGGTCAAAAGGTCAAGATTGTTGATATCAAATGAAAGGTCTTGCCACAAAGAATACATATGTCAAATATGAAAGTCCTAGTTTCTACTGTTCAAAAGTTGTGGCCAAGGTTAAAGTTTCTGAAAAGTAGGTCAAACTCCAAGGTCAAGATCAAAGGGTCAAAGTTCATGGTATCCAATGAAAGGTCTTCTCACAAGAATTACATATATGAAGTATGAAAGCCCTAGCCCTTACTGTTCAAAAGTTATGGTCAAGGTTAAAGTATTTCATAAGTATGGAAATCTCCAAGGTCAAGGTCAAAAGGTCAAAGTTGTTGGTATCCAATGAAAGGTCTTGTCACAAAAAATATATATGTGAAATATGAAAGTCATAGTATCTACCATTCAAAAGTTATGGCCAAAGGAAATTGGAATTTTTGTGTAAAAGTGGGTCAAACTCCAAGGTCAAAAGGTCAAATTTGGTGGTACCCAAAGAAAAGTCTTGTCACAAGGAATACACATGTGAAATATGAAAGTCATAGCTCTACTAAATCAAAAGTTATGGGCAAGGTTAAAGTTTTTATGACGTACAGACTGACAGACTGATGGACAGTCGGATAGACGAATGAGATTTAATGTCCCCTCTCCTTTGCGAAAACAAGGGACAATAATGATAAATCTATTTCTATACCCAAGAAAATGTATAAACAATATGTTTTATTCAAGGAAAAAGGCCAAGACTTTCCCAAAGAGCGGTTGAAGCTATGGAGTACATTTTCCAGAAAAACCCTTATCCAACAGACGAGGATATAGAATATGCGTCAGAAGATAGCGGTGAAAGTATTAAAAGAGTAAAGGTAACTGTAGAAACTTTTATTTCTAGACTTTCTATACTTTGTTTGTATGGATTAAGATATATTGAAACATGTATTTAAATTTTTGTACAAATTCCAGGAAAATTGAGGAGTCAATTTTATATTCAAGGGTTTTCTATTCATGTGCAACTCTATTTTCTTTCTTTGGCATATATGCTTTTCATTGGCAATCTTCAAAGACATTGGTAAATATATTCACTTTGAATGTAAATCATGTTGGTCTCTTGTAATTCCCTTATTCTTAACCAATGTGCATTATGTATTTAATTTCTCAAGAACATCACTGAAAAAGATACGTACTTAACTCCCCCCCCCCCAAAATAACACTCAATGCAGAACCTATCTGTAATTCAAATGCTTAATATAAATGAAGCTTTTATTTTTTTTCCTGTATGGAGGTGTTCTACTGAATGTATTGGAAAAAATAATAGAACAGAAGAACAGATTACATATTGATTTACTCAGAGTACACAAAATCACGAGAGAATGCAAAGTAAATTAACTTTTGCACACTGGAGCAAATTTTCAAGCCCATGATCGAGTTAAATACATTCATGAGTTAATAATGAACAAGATATCATTTGTGCTTAAATCTTCCTGATATACTTAATTTTACCAAATACCGTATAAGTAGAATTTTTAGCGAGGATTTAATTTTGGCATTATTAGCGAAGGTTCTGAGATTGCTAAAATTAAATATTGCAAAAATAAACTGTCTTTAATTTGCAATAGCTTTATTATGCCCCTCTTCGAAGAAGGGAGGGCATATTGCTTTGCTGCTGTCTGTCGGTCTGTCGGTCCACTTAGTTTCCATTCATTTTCTTCGCAACCATTGCACATACTGAAATGAAATTTGGTATACAGATATATCACATTTATTTCTAGGTCAAGTTCTGTTTTGTATACGATCGCACCATTTTTGACAGAGTTATGCCCCTTGGACTTAGAAAAATTTCAATTATTTGCAGTTTCCGTTCATTTTCTTCGCAACTGCTGCACATACTGAAATGAAATTTAGTATACAAATTTATCAGAGGTATATCTAGATCAGTTTCTGTTTTGGGTACAATTGCACCATTTTTGACAGAGTTAGGCCCCTTGGACTTACAAAAATTTCAATTATTTGCGGTTTCCGTTCATTTTCTTTGCAGAGGTTGCACATACTGAGAAGAAATTTGGTATACATATTCATCAGATAAATATCAGGGTCAAGTTTTGTTTTGGATACGATTGCACCATTTTTGACATAGTTATGCCCCTTGGACTTAGAAAAATTTCAATTATTTGCAGTTTCCGTTCATTTTCTTTGCAACCATTGCACATACTGAAATGAAATTTAGCGTACAGATTTATCAGAGGTATATCTAGGTCCAGTTCTGCTTTGGGTACGATCCCACCATTTTTGACAGAGTTATGTCCCTTGGACTTAGAAAAATTCCAATTATTTGCGGATTCCGTTCATTTTCTTTGCAGAGGTTGCACATACTGAGAAGAAATTTGGTATACAGATTTATCAGATAAATATCATGGTCAACTTCTGTTTTGGGTACAATCGTGCCATTTTTGACAGAGTTATGCCCTTTTGGATGTAGAACAATTCCAATTTGGGGGGAGGGGGGCATAAGTGTTTTACAAACATCTCTTGTTAGTGAGCATTTTCAAATCACTAAGATTACATCTCGCTAAAAATAAAATACCCTATTTTAAAGACAAATCGCTAAATTTGGGTCTCGCTGAAATTTCCACTTATATGGTAGAATATACTATCTAAGATATAGTCATATTGTATACATGTATATTTTATTTGCTTAAAAAAACATATTTCTGGGCCACATATTAGACATCAGAAAAAAAGCAATTTCAAAAATCCTATTTCATTTAGGGGGGGGGGGGGGGGGGGGGGGGATAGATTCAAACTAAATCTTCCAGTACCATATTTTATTTATACATTACTACATTACCCTAATCTGGCTATTGTGCAACAAAAGGGGGCATCAACCTTAGCCCTGCCTTTCATTGAATATTTTCTATAGTAATAAGTGATGTTTTGAAAAGCATTGACTTCCCCTGAATGGGCCCTGATGCGTCTTAAATTGCTATCTATTCTTCATTGGATACAGTACAGTTTTTTTTCACCATCTTTAAACAGCTTTCTGGTACTTTCAGTTGAGTTTAGATTTTCTCCTTAAAAGAATTGTTTATAGTTCAGTGTTTAATGTTTTCCATTACAGACATGGTTTGCAAATCGAAGAGTGAAAGCCTTAGCTGAGCTTTCTGGTAAGAGAAAGCCGACCAAGAGGCGGCTGACTCTTCTTCCAGCTTCACAGAGATCAACACCATCTAAAACGGATTGGAGGAGAACCTCAGGAGAACAGCCTGTCTCCACTATTATACCTTCAGCAAGCTCCTCAGACAATGAGGTATCAAACAAGAAACATGTTCCCTGCAAAAAATGTCAAGTGACTTCCAGTGCATTGGACGATCTTCTGTTAGCACGTTATGCTGAACTGATAGAAGATAAAGAGTTCCACGAAATGGTATTTGATTCCGATTAGTGAATGGACCAGTGTGCATGTTTCTCTCTGGATATTCGGACCATTTATTTTGTTAAAGATAAAGAGTTGATAATTGATAGGTGATAAAAAGTTCCACGAAATGGTATTTTTGATTCCGATTTGAATGGACTTATGTGCATGTTTCTCTCTGGATAAATGGGACATTTGTTTGTGTGTCTGTTTAGGTATGTTCGTGTGTTTTTTGGTTTATTTTTGTTTTGTTTTGTTTATTTTTCAAATCAGAGATATTACATGTCTCTGTGATTAAAAGTGTTTATTAAATTAACGATAAAATGATCATATTGTTAATGTTTAATGATAGAAATCGCAAATGTCAACATTTCGACTAAAACATTTTTCTACCCACATGAATCATGCTGTAAACATATTACATTCAATTTATTTTTAGCTCACCTGAGCCGAAGGCTCAATTGAGCTTTTCTGATCAAAATTTGTCCGTTGTTTGTCGTCGTTGTTGGCATTGTTATCGTTGACGTAAACTTTTCACATTTTCAACTTCTTCTCAAGAACCACTGGGCCAATTTCAACCAAACTTGCTACAAAGTATCCTTAGGTGAAGGGGATTCAAATTTGTTCAAATGAAGGACCACGCCCTATTCCAAAGGGAGATAATTATGAATTAGTGAAAAATTAATGGCATTTTTAAAAAATCTTCTTCTCAAGAACCACTGGGCCAGGAAAGATGAAACTCATGTAGAATCATCCTCAGGTAGTTTAGATTTAAGTTTGTTCAAATCATGACCCCCGAGACAAGGGTGGGGCAAAAAGGGCTGATCAAAGTTTAACATAGGAATATATAGGAAAAATCTTTAAAAATCTTCTACTCAAGAACCATTAATTGGGACATGAAGATTAAACTCATGTTGAATCATCCTCAGATAGTGTACATTCAAATTTGTCCAAATTATGGCCCTTCGGGGTAGGGTGGGGCCACAATGGCCGTTCAAAGTTTTGCATAGGAATATATAAGAAAAATCTTTAAAAATCAAGAACCATTGGGACAGGAAAGATGAAACTCATGTTTAATCATCCTCAGATAGTGTACATTCAAGTTTGAAGTTTGTTCAAATCATGGCCCGGGGGGTGGGGGGGGGGGTGGGGGGGGGCCACAATGGCCTATCAAAGTTTTACATAGAAATATACAAATGTATAGGGAAAATCTTCTTCTCAAGAGCCATTGGGACAGGAAAGATGAAACTCATGTTGAATCATCCTCAGATAGTGTACATTCAAGTTTGTTTAAATCATGGCCCCTTGGAGTAGGGTGGGGCCACAATGGCCGATTAAAGTTTTGCATAGGAATGTATAGAGAAATCTTTAAAAATTTTCTTCTCAAGTACTGCAAAGCCATGATTAGTGATATTTTTATGGAAGCATCCTCAGGTACTGTAGATTCAAGTTTGTTCAAATCATGACCCCCAGGGATAGGATTGGGCCACAATGGGGGATCCAAGTTTTTACATTAAAATATATTTTAAAAAATCTTTTTCTAATGAATAGAAAATCCATGATTAGTGATATTATGGAAGCATCCTCAAGTAGTGTAGAATTGAATTTGTTCAAATCATAACCTCCAAGGGTATGGAAGGGTCTCAATGGTGGATCAAAGTTTTACATAGTAAAAAAGGGAAAAATCTCAATAACAGAAAAGCCATGTCATATTGACATGTAAGCATCCTCATGTATTGAAGATTTAAATTTGTTCAAATCATGGGTACCCTTTGAGGTAGGGAGGGAAATGATGGGGAGTCAAATTAAAATTATTACAAAGTAATATATACAAACAAAATGTTTGAAAAAAATCTATAAAAATCTTTTCTCAAGAACTTTCTCAAGAAGTTATAGAATGCTGTCACAACTGAAAGATCAAAATTATGAAGAACGACTAAAGACTCTTAAATTACCAACATTGAAATAGCGGCGTATGAGAGGAGACATGATTGAAACATTTAAAATCATCAATGGAGTATCTGATAAAAGAGTTACATCTACATTATTTCAATTGAGTGAAACGCATATTACTAGAGGAAACAGTTTTAAACTAGTGAAACATAGATGCAACAGAGATGTTCGAAAATACAGCTTCACCAACAGAGTGGTTAAACTGTGGAATAGCTTGCCAGACAATGTAGTAATAGCAAAAACTGTACACCAGTTTGAAAACAGACTGGACAAACATTGGGAACACCACCCTCTAAAGTATGACTATACCCAAGAATATGGACTGCATACCGGAAAAGGACCAGTTGTATTTCAGCAAGAGAAAGAAGAGCTGCCTATAGAGCACCAAGAGGTGCTGCAGGCAGAATCAACATAAGGTAATTTAAGGTAAGGTTATATGCAGAATTGGTATGTAGGCATTCTCAAGTAGTAATAGAATTCAAGCCACATCCCCCCCCCCTTCAGTAATCTTTTCAATTCTGATCGATTTGTGTGTTTTCCTAGCTGATGTGCTCAGGTGAGCGATGTGGCCCCTGGGCCTCTTGTTTTAATTGTAATTGAAAATTCAAGGGTTTATAGTTTATGTCCTGTCTTTCATATTTTACAGGTGTATTCCTTGTGGAAAGACATTTCCAAGGGTACCACCATATTTGACCTCCTGACCTTGACCATGGAGTTTGAACCACTTTTAACAATACAACATGTGTTTGTGAAACACTGCCCCCATATGGCAGCTTATAGCAAAGATTGAAGTTTTTCAAATGCAAGTCAAAATCCAAGCTCAAAAGGTCAAAATTGTTGATATCCAAAGTTTTAATCACAAGAAATACACCTGTAAAATATGAAAGCCCTAGTAATAACTGTTCAAAAAATATGGCCAAGGTTGAATGTTTTGAAAAGTGGGTCAAACTCCAAGGTCAACAGGTCAAATTTAGTGGTATCAGAAGACAGGTCTTTTCACTATGAATACAACTATGAAATATGAAACCTATAGCCCCACCCATTCAAAAGTTATAGCCAAGGTTAAAGTTTTTGTGGACAAACAGACAGATGAACAGGGCAAAAACTATTTACTCCCGAAATCTTCGATAACTGTGGCATTAAAATTTAAACTTTAACATTGCTCAAAATTTTTGGACAGTTGGTACTAAGGCTTTTACATTTTCATGAATAATCATTGTGACAAGACCTTTGAAAGGGTATAAATTCTTTTTTTATAAATTGTTTAAATATCTACAATGCAATAAACTTGCATATTTCACTGAAAATCTACTGCTCCCCATCAGATTTCTTCTCCCTTAAACTACCTTATAAATAGTTAATACTTTTTGTTATTTTTTTAACAAATTCAATTTTTAAATAGCGAATCTTGTTATTATTTTCTTGATATTGTTTGATTGGTGATTTAGTTTAAACAAAAAAAATTCAAAGAATTCGGTGTGTTTGTGGATGAGATGTCATTATTTATGGCTTATTGTGTCAAATATGAATGCACTATCATATGTCATTCAAAAGTTATCACCACCGTTTTTTTTTTTTTTTTGGTTGTTGTTGTTTTAATTAGGTTAAACATGAAGGTCAAGGGGTCAGAAATCATAGCATGCTCGATAATATCTTGTCACAGGTAATACACAGGTCAGACATGAAAGCCCTATCATTTCTTTATTGAAATAAAGTTATAAGGGAAAACACTTTTTTTAAGAGATGTGTTTGTGAAACACTGATGCCCCCATTTGGCAACATAGTGGAGATTAAACTTTTCTTAAATGCAAATTGAATTATGTTGGTACCCAAATTAAGGTCTTTTCACAAGAAATACAATTGTGAAATATGAAAGCCCTAGCACTACCTGTTCAAAAGTTATGGCCTTATGTTTTTGAAAGGTACATCAAACTCCAGGGTCAAGGTCAAATGGTCAACGTTGTTGGTTTTTAAAGAAAGGGCTTGTCACAAGGATTCCATATTTCAAATATGAAAGCCATGACCCTTACCGTTCAAAAGTTATGGCCAAGTTTTTAAAAGTAGGTTGAACTCCAAGGTCAAAGGGTCAAGGTTCTTGTTATCAAATGAAAGGTCTTGTCACAAGGATTAAATATGTGAAGTATGAAGCCCTAGCCCTAACCCTTTGAAAGTTATAGTCAAGGATTGTTTCTTAAAAGTAGGTCAAACTCCAAGGTCAAGGTCAAAGATTTTGGTATCCAATGAAAAGTCTTCTCACAAGGATTACATATGTGAAGTATGAAAGCCCTTTGCCTTACTGTTCAAAACTTATGGCCAAAGTTAAAGTTTTTCTGTAATTACAGAAATCTGTAATTACTGAAATTTCCAAGGTCATGGTCAAAGTTGTTGGCTACCAATGAAAGGCCTTGACAAAAAGAATTGATATTTGAAATATAAAATACCTAGTACTGTATCAACCATTTAAAAGTTATGGCCAAAGTAAAAGTTTGGATTTTTTGTGTAGAAATGGGTCAGATTCCAAGGTCAAGGTCAAAGGGTCAAGATTCTTGATATCAAAGGAAAGGTCTTGTCACAAGGATTAAATATGTGAAGAAGGAAAGCCCTTGTCCTAATCCTTCAAAAATTATGGTCAAGAATGTTTTTTAAAAGTATGTCAAAGGGTCAAAGTTTTAGGTATCCAGTGAAAGGTCTTCTCACAAGGATTACATAGGTGAAGTATGAAAGCCCTAGCATTTACCATTCAAAAATTATGGCCAAGGTTAAAGTTTTTATTAAGTGTGGAAATCTCCAAGGTCTAGGTCAAAAGGTCAAAGTTGCTGGTATCCAATAAAAGATCTTGCAACAAGAAATACATATGTGAAGTATTGAAGTATGAAAGTCATAGTATCTACCATTCAAAAGTTATTGCCATAGTAAAAGTTTGAATTTTTAGTGTAAAAATGGGTCATACTCCAAGGTCAAGGTCAAATGTGGTGGTACCAAAAGAAAGTTCTTGTCACAAGGAATACCCCCGAATCTTTGATTACAGGGGCATAAAAAGTATAAAGTCAAATGTGTAAGGGTCCTGGTCAATCATAGTGCATTTAGAAAGGTCTTGTCACAGGTAATATACATATGTAATGTCCTATCTCTTTCTCATTCAAAAGATATGACCAAGGTGAAAGTTTTTCTGACAGCCTTACAGACGAACAGATGAATGAGATTTAATGTCCCTTGGCTTTTTGCAAAAGCGGGGGACAAAGGAAAAAAAAAAATTTGAATATTTCTAATATTTGTCTGAAAAATATATCAGTTTCAGTAAAATAAAATGCATCTAGTTATACAACTATTCCCCTTAGCTGTGATAGGGCCATGTAGATCAAGGTGCC